AATAGTCTAGCAGGCTTTGTCTCATAGCAGTCACAAGTCATCTTTTTCATTCAGTCATCCAAAAGAAAACATTTCAACATTGACTTCAAAGTTCAACTTTGGTTCCTTCTTCAGGGTTCTATCAGGCTACATTTGCCACAGCCTCTTCTCTGTCTCTCTTCACACTCCCTCTCAGTCTCTCCACAGTGTGGAAAGCCCTCTTTCTTATATTAGTCCCACAAATGTTGATGATTTTCAAGACCATGTGTCCACAGCTGAGTAGCTGAAGATGATGGTCCCAGTGGGAGTTAACACAATGGTTAGAAGAGCCATTTTTCAAAGTTCTAACACCACAAACTTTGTAAGTGTAATATCCTTCTTCAAAGACTGGCCCTTTCTAACAACATGCCAATAGTATATGAAATGAAGTTTTACCATGCTTGCCTCCAAAGAGAAGCTGGTTGCACTTTCTCCAAGGTGGACTTGTTTGTTCTTTTGGGAATCCATGGGGTATTGTGTTTTCACTTTGGACTCCCTGCTTATATTTATTTGACTTTCCAGCCCCATTTTGCCTTCATAGCTTTTATTTGGGATAAATGCTGCCCTTTTAGTTGTTCTGAGGATATTGTTTGTCCTAAGTAATATTGTTCAAATTAAAGGCCTATAATTTATAGGATAAAATTATTTAAAGGTGATCTCCAGTGTGGTTTTATTTTTAAGTTTAAAGGATATTTAAAGAATTTAGTAGTATTACTTATGAATCTTAATTTTGTTTTACCTTTTCCCCCAACCACTCTACCTAATGTCTTATATTGTGGTCCTGGTTACAGCCTTTGGTGGTAGTGGTGATCAAGCATCATCTAGTTCTCCTGGTCAAACAGTTGATTCTTATTATTTTTAGTAGTTACAGTCTATAAAGTTGCCTTAAATACTTATTTAGCTAATATTAGACCACTTTTTCTAGGGAAAATATAGGATTAGGTTCCTGCAAGCCTCCGGTCCCAAAACTTTTATAACCTAGCAAATATATGTTGTTGTGTATGTTGAGTTGGAACCAATTTGAAATTGACCCCTCAGGAAGTTTTTACATGCCTTTAAATCACACAGGTGAAGACTGCCCCTCTTTCCCTCATGAAGCAGTTGGTGAATTCAAACAGCATGCCTTTGGGTTTGCAGTATAACTCCTTACCATTAAGCCACGAGAGCACCTGTAATAAATACATAGTTTTGCATTGTGGGTGTATTTAAAGACATCTTAATTTATACACAGTTAATTAACACTGGGTTTAGTGGTCAGCAGCAATACAGCTCATGTCTTAAGTGCATAAATATTTTGTTCATAAAGCACATTAAAGCCTTCTTGTGCTTAGAGAAACTAGACAGCACTTTAGCACTATGTCTAGGGAGCATTTTAAACGATGAGATCAGCGACAGAAAGCAAGAAAAAAATTAGATACATAGCACTAGGTAGTGTTGCAAGTGTTGATTTGGAGTTACAAATAAACTTTAATGAGTTGGTGAATTTGTGAATAAGAAATTTATGAATAATGAGGATTGACTATACTCAGGGTGAAACCTGAGAAGCTTATTTGCTTACTAGGTGTACCTTTTATGATGTATCTTTTAAAAATATTTGATAGCTAATTTCAAATTAACTTGGAGAAAAAAAATAGCATTTTACCAATTAAGGTATCATAATCATAAATACTCGATTATTGTTATATACCTTAAAATCAAAACAAACCCATAGTTGACCCTCCAGTGGGTTTTCAAAAGCAGAAAAGCACAACAAGAGGAGATTGTCTATTCTTTTCCCAGGGAACAGCTTGTGGATTTGAACTGTGTCCCTTCGGGTTGACAGTGTAAGTCCTTAGCCTCTTCAAATGTATTTCCTAACATATGCTTTCTTTGAATATAAGTGTAGTTGTCCTTTATGGCCCTTTCGTAAATTGACCTGTATTATTTGCCTATTTCTTATTTGTTTTGTTCTTAGTGATTGGCAAAATTTCATTTTAAGAAAATTTCCTAACAAATGTTTTAATTATTTTTCATTTTACAGTTTTCATTTTTCTTTGCATATACTTTAGCCAAAAAGATATTTTATATTTTCTATCACCACACTTGTCTATTCTTAAATTGTTCCAGATTTTTTTCCTCCACAAGAGTACAAGTAAACCAAACCAAAATTCATGTTTTCCTCTAATGTTTATGGTTTTAATTTCTATAGTTAATTTTATACATATAGACTATAATTTAATCTTTAGTCATTTCATTGCAAATATCCACATTGTAAACATATTAAAACAAAGCTCCTCACATGGGAATAATTTTCAGGACCATTAACTTGTGAATATTGGAGCCTCAATTCACTCTCTTTCCTTCAAAAAAATGTAACTGGTTACAGTTTGCTCTTATAATAGCAATTCTCAGTTTCATAGTAGATACACTCCCTGGTTTTGCCGAAAAATAAGAGTGACATTTTAGTGAGGCATTGTCACTGTTGTGCCATTGAGCCTATTTTAACACACAGTAACCCCATGGGGATAAACAGAACTACCCCATAAAGTAGTGTAGGCTGTAGTCTTTATGGGAGCAGATTATCAAGCCTTTTGCCGGCAAAGTCACTAGGTCAGTTACTTTGGCTAACAGGTGAATGCTTAACCTTTGCTCCGCCAGGCTCCCTTTTAGCCTCTATGGTTAGTGTATCATTTCCCACATCTACAAAACGAGATAATAAATCTAACCTAGTGCCATTAATAAATCAGGCACATGGTTCTAATCCACTGTGGAAGAAAGATGGCAAATCTCCTTTCGTGCAATTTACAGTCTCTGAAAAGTCGACGGGAGAGTTCAATCTTGACAGCACATAACAACAGCGCAATTTTTTAAAAAAATTAGAAAGTAAATAAATAAGTATAGTCCATGTCTGCATTCGTGTTCTATGGGATTGACAAAGGCACGAGTTCTATGTGAATCCGCAAATCAAAGATCCTTTCTTTAGAATGCATACATGTTAAAACCATGCTTGAAGCTCTTTAAGAAGAAACCATCCCTGACTGTCATGACAGGAAAACCTATATGTGTTTTGTTCACTTGTAACTTTTTTCCTCTTTAATCCTTGCCTGTGAACTACTATGACATTTATAACTTTTCTAGTGTCCCCTTTTATTCTCTCTCTCCAGGGTCACAAATACCCTGGGGTTAGTGAAAATAATAAAAGATAATAGAATTGTTGGGATTTCTTTCATATCTAATAGAGAAAAAATATTTATTTATAGGCTGATTTAAAAAAAAAAAATTCCCTAAACTCCCAATGGAGAAAGACATTCTTTTCAGTCTTCTCCTGTTTTCCATGGTACTGAGTTACTATGTTTGGGTTCGTGCAGTGGGAAGAGCTGCAGGAACTGTGACCTGCTTTGACCCCAAGAGACAAAAGTATTGTCAACTGAACTGCTTGATTCTGCCTTGAAAGCTATGAATAAAAGTTGTGGAATGAGAGGATGAGGCATCTGTGTAGGTTTTGTTTTTTTTTTTAATGCCTTGGAAGTCACTGGTGATGTTGCAAGTGCTTATGATTTATAATTACCTAGATTCATATGACAGACGGAACTGGGAATCGTATTAAGTGGCTGCCTTCTCTTAAGTTGCTAGAGAATCTCCAGCTTAAGACAAGATTGCCTTTTTCCTTCCTAAAAAAGGCACAAACAATGACAGCCCAAAATAGCTATTTAGTCAGAACTGACGACACTTTCTGAATGCTTGTCATTAAGAGAGAAAACCCTGCTTTTCTTCTTCCTTTAATTTCTCTCCCTTAAATACATTGGCTCTCCTGAAGCTGCCTCACCTCATTGCCCAGGAGAAATGCCTGGTGACTCTGACAGTGCCTTAGAACCACTGCAGGTTCCAGAGGAGGGGTGGCTTATGCAAAACATAATAAAGAAAAAAATCCTAAAAGTCACTGCAGCTTTTTCTAGTGAGTTATGCTGATCTTCCCTGTTGCTGTAAGCTGATGGGGAGCGTTGTGGTAAAGACATAACCACTCTTTTTCCTCCCACTATTTTTGCTGCAGTGAAAACTGTTCCTTTCTGCTTGCATTTCACCAGATAGCTCCACAGTTCTTGCTGAGCATTAGGGCTTCTCCAGGCTCCAAATAAGAGTTTAGGACCTTAAATTGGACTTTGTCTTTTAGACTCAGTAAAAATTGAGTTAATTTGCAGCATCCGGTGCCTGACAGGAATGACAAGAGACAGTAGGATCTGATGATGACTTTGAATTAAGTGGGGATTTTTTTCCTCCTTATAAATTCATGGGGGCAGAAGCTTTTCTCTCTTTCTCTCTCTCTGTCTCTCTCTCTCTCTTTCAGAGCCAGCTGAACATTTTACATTCAACAGCAGTGGCTAGGAATCTGAGGTTATACCATCTCCTGGAATCCTCCGTCTTCATTCTAATCCAGTCTCCTATTATTGATAGTCATTTACCAATAAAACACTGTTTGCAGGGAAATTGGATGTATTGTTTTATTAGAGAGCCTTGCAACTTTAGACCTCCCTAGGAAATGTACCAGATATTTTAAGACAGTGAAGTAAGAGAAGGTAGTACTTCAGAGCCATGGAAATGAGTATCACCATAGGGGAACATAGCTGATATTTTAGGGGACTTAGCTTTACAGTGATCCTGTAGTCCTGGTCCTCTTCCACCAGAGAAGCAGAATGAGATGTGTTTGCAGTGATTTGTAATATTTGCCAAACAGGGTGCTGCATCCAAATTGCTTGGAATGTAGTGCAGAGCCCATAATAAACCTCCACGGGGAAAAGGACTTCCTCTTCATTTACAGTCTCCCCGATGCAATTCCGTTGTAAAGTATCTAATAGGATAACACCAAGGCTCTCTTGAGATATAAGTAACTCATTGGTTAAATTTCAATTCTTCACCTTTCCCCCCTCCTTCCTGGGTGAGCTCATTCCCCCTCTCCCGGCTTTTTTTTTTTTTTTTAAACCCAGTGATTTAAAATGCTACTGAAGAAAAGCAACTGAGGTCTTAACTTTCAGACGCTGAATTCTCAGCTAATTGAAATTACTGGGCACAATGCTATATATAGCCAATGAAGAGATTTTGAGCCCTCATTCAGTGCCTTCAAGACATGTCGTTTTGTAGTCAGAGAAAACAGAGATCAATGCATTTTCAAACTGACAGAGGGAACGGATGCTCCTTAGTAGCACATGCCCAGGATCGTGTGTGTGTGGGGCTTGCGCTGTGCTGAGAAGCTGAATACCGGTCCATATGCTCCTTATTTACTGCAATGTTCTTTGCATGTTACTGTGCACTCCGGACTAACGTAAAGGTAAGAGGAGCCGAGCCCGGCAACTGGGCACGATGTACATGCTAAACCAGCTGCAGAAAATGTCTACCTTGTGTAGCTTCGGGACTTTTCAGATTGCTGGTTGAGCAAGCAGATTATTACAGGTGGTTGCAAGGGCTTTGTTTTATTGTTGCTATGCAGCCTCGCTGGGGGAGCATGTTGGAACGCTGCTGTGAAGTGACCTTCAGGTTTAACTGTTTGTAATTCAGGTTCACCCTCACACTTGTGGGGGGGATGGAGAGGGGAGAAGAGTGAAAATTTTTTAGGTAGGCCAGAGTCAAGAAATCAGAGAAGGCTAAAAACTATAGATTGTGCTTTAGATTAAGATTTACAGTCTTTCCTTTTAAAAGTGCTCTGAACGTGCTGCTTAATTGTTTAAGAGCCAGGCTTTTACATTAAATGGTTGTAGTAGCATTAGGGCACAATCTGGAGAAATATCTGATCATCTTCTATACATTAACTAATAACTGATTATCACTAAAAACAGGTGATAATGATCTGATAAATCCCCATCTCTGGGTGGGCTGGTTGCTTCAGAGGCATGAGTGCTACCAGCCTGGCATTGTCACCCCACCAACATTCACTCGCTGTGGCTAATGAGCCTCAGAACTTGAGTCTAAGTTTACAAGATTTACCCCTTGTCAGGAACGAGGGCGTTGTTATTGGAAAGGTTTTCAGTGGCACTTTGTTCATTCAGCAGTGAGCCAGACAAATAGGCCAGCTGTGGAATTTCAGTTGCATAATTTAAGTGGATTACATTCTCTGTTAACATTTTGATCTTGTGTTTCTTACTGAAGAAAGTCCAAAAGAAAAGTGGTATTTGTCTCTTGGGTAGGGGAAGTAAGCTGTTGAAGACTTAATATCTAAAACGTGAATCTTAAAAAAAAAAAAATAACAAGTCAATGCAAAGTATTTCCCACCTTTATTTTACTTAATAAGTTTTTACTGTGTCTGGGTACTAAAATTTGATGTTTGTGTTTATAAGTTTTATTAAGAGAACTCACTTCATGTTCACTTTTGTATAAGCCCTTTTGTTTTCTATTCAAAATTTCAAACAGGGTTTATTTTTATTTTAATTGCCCGTTGTTTACAGCTATGGATTGGAAACTTTGTGGATCACTTTTGAGAGTTCTGTAAGATTTGTTTTTTTCTACTTTTAAAATTAACTTCAAAAGGCAATGTTCTTCAATGCTTGAATAGACATATTAAACAACATACAAAAAGAAATATTTAAAAGGATAGAGAAATGAGCCCAGATACTAAGTTGGACTTATCTATTGTCATCTCCTGTTATAAATTATAAGTATTGCAATACATGCAATTGTGAGTTCAGTGAATTATAAATGTTGTCCTTTCTCACTTTCTTATTTAAAGTAGAAAAAATGTTTCTTAAAAGAAAAATCCATAAATATTTTAGACAAAGTGATAAAAGTTATTTTGATGTTTCATGTTCTAAAATGAAGAGAAAATCTGAGTCCAAAGTTACTTTGCTTTGAGTTTGGGAAGAGTTCTTTTTACTCAACTACTAATATTTGGCTTTGTTTTAATTTCTTTTTTCTCTTCAATCCATTAGCAAAGGAATAAAACTACTTTTGAACAACAATAGCTTGATTGGATTCATATGTCTTGGAGAATAAAATCTTAGTGCTTTGGCTAACCTGAACTGATATATATATATGTCATATATATATATACTCTGGTATGTTAATCAGTAAAAACTAAAAGCATGTGCACTGCCATGGGTGAGACTTTATACTTCCTCTTAGGGTTATTTTGTCCTTTTGAGACTGTAAGCTTTGCAAAAGAGTTGGCAGTTTTCTTTTGGTCTGAGAGTTCAACAAGTTAGTGCAATAAGCCTTCTTTGGTTATTTTAGTAGGTTTGTCTTTATTTTTACTATAGCTAAAATTACTTGCTTAGTCTACTCAAGACTCTTTTATGGTGCATGACTTCTTATGTTTATCATCATAATATGATCAATGTTTCAGTCACCAAAGTTTCCAATGTGAGTAAAATTTTATATATATAGGTATTAATATTATAATATTTTCTTTTTTAATTATTGTTTTATTAATTGGTCTTTCTTAATATAGTACAATTGTAGTGATTTTTTTGAGAGTTGTTGGTATTATGTTGTTTTGGGGCTGAACTGATAACTGACCCTCCAGTGGGTTTTCAGAGACAGTAGATGGATGGAAGAATATTGCCTTTGGGTTGGCAATGTAGTTCCTTACCAGTAGGCCATTAGAGTAGTATACTTTAATATATTTTATACAGTAATCAAGGTTATTTAATTCTGGACCACTAGATCATATGTCTGTGTGTATTTTCATTGTGTGACCCAAGAGTCACTATTTATTTGTCTATCAAACAGTTTTGAATGACAACCAGGATTTATGCACTGTGCTTGAGTGAAAAGCTTTTCCTTTCAAGAAGCCTCCAGTCTAGAAGAGAATATGTAAACAAATCAGTCCTTTGAAATATTTCAGAATCTGTGATGAAAGCCTATGCAGGCCATTATAGGAGGAAAAAAGGGGGAAACAAAAACAGCAGGCACACTTTGGCAAAACTAGTCAAGAAAAAAGTTTTCTCTGTGAAGTCACTTCTGGGTTGCATCTGACTGCAACAGCTAATGCAGTTTTCCCAGAGAGCATGGAATGAGGAAGACAAACTGGGTAAAAAAAGAGTGACAAAGACAGAATCTAAGCAGCAGCACACTTAAAAGAGCTACAAATAGAGTAGTTTAGAATGCGTACTGTATGGACTCTTGTAAGACTTAATAGTGAGCTAACAACATAGAAAGGAAATAAAACTCAAAAGCTCAAATTCATTGTCTTTGAGTAAGAACTAATTCTTAATTAACCCTCCACTGAATTTCCAGGATTGCAAATCGCAGGGGACAAGATTGCCCATCTTTTCCACAGAGCCACAGGTGGATTCCACCCCCAGAGAGGAATGAACTTTGGGTCGGCAGCACAGATCACTTTGGACTAGGCCACCGGATCTCCCTCTCATTTTGTCTTCCTTTGGAAATTGTGTCACTTTGCCATTTATTTCTAGAAGAACTTGCAACATAGGAAATAAAGAAAGAGGTCTAGGCTCAGGCTATTGTTTCAGGGGAGGTTCGTTAGCTTTAAATTGTTCTTTGAGTTTGGTAAACTTTCCTAAGCTGTTCACATTTTAAATAATATGTTTAGAACAATTTAATCTGAATCTGAATCTTCTCACATAACTATTGTATGTATATGTATATATACATATACATATACATATACATATACATATACATATACGTGTGTGTGTGTGTGTGTGTGTGTGTGTGTACTTCCATTTGAAATAGATTGTGCTATATGGAAACTACCCCTTTGGGGGAAGAAGAATATAGTATGTTGTAAAATCAGATATTTATATCATTTAATCTGTGGAACTTGTTTTACACAAATAACAGTTGTATCCAAGTAATATTTCTTGCTTTTCTAAATATTTTTATCCTTATGCTAATTGTAATCCTAAGTGATTTATTTCAAGCTCCTTATTTCTCTTCTTGAATCCTGTAGCTATAAGTGCAAACACACCCAAATACATACTCAGAAATCTATATAGTCCCTGAACCATGAAAGTTAAGCACTTGGCCCATATCACAGAAGGGGAAACAAAGGCACAGTGAAAGGAAATGGCAAGCTAGTTTGTGCCACCACACATCAGAAGCAAATCTGGTATTTGATTCAGGTTTCTAGACACCCATTATAAGTTAAATTGATTACTCTTTCCATTAAATATTGCTACTTACTCAGTTATTATTGTTGTTAAACTAGGTGCCAGACTTGACTCTGACTCATAGTGACCTTAAGTTCCATAGTTCAAGGCCTGCCTGGTCCTATGCATACATCCTTCCAGGTGCTTATACCCAGCATGCTTCAACCACCATTGCAGTCACTGCTTAAGGGTCTTTCTCTCCTTTGCTGACCATGCTCAAAGTACTGAGACCACTTCTCAAGAACTCTGCTCTTTATTTCACAATTTTAAAAACAAAACAAACAACTGGGGAGCAGAGTAGTTTCAAATATTCACTTGGGATTCTACAAGGACCTTTCTTTTTTTTTACAAAGACCTTTTATGAGTTGCAGAGCTTGAGAAATTTTGCTAACATATCTGAAATTAATTTTTTTTAAATTTGTAAAATAGGATAATCTATATAATTCTATTTTAAGAATCATATGAATGAAGACATGTAAACACTCAAAATATTTTCAGTCTATAGTAAATGTTCACTCAATTTAACTGATAACTGATCAAGTAGAGACTACCAAATAGCAGGGAGGCTTTAGAATTACCTTTTAATATGAATTAGGTTAGGAAGTTGTGGAAATTGAGCACAATGGAGAAATTAATATCTGTAATTAATGAGAAATGTCTTCACATAGAAAGCCTATGTTCCTCTTCCTTTACTTTTACTACCATGCATGCGCACATTAGACTATAGCTGATAATACATTTCACTTTACTCACTGCCCAGACAATGCCAAGGATACACTGCCAAGTAGGAATTAAAACATCTTTAAAAGTAGGAACTCAACAGACTCATTAAATGGATTAATGAAATAAATACCAGGTTTATCTTTATTATTTGCTCATCCTGCCTGGTTGCATATTCATCATAAAACTGGTTAAATTATTTTGGGCTAAAGGGAGAAAAAAACAAAACTTAACCTTTGAACTTAAACATACCTAATTGAGTTTGAATGTTAGATCTGTTGTTGTTTTTATGTGCCAATCATAAACTCTTTGTACTCAGTCATGTAGTTGTACAGCTAGGTTAGAGTAGATTAATCATATACTGAAAAAATTTATTAAATGCTGAAACATTCTATGATTCAAACATTTGTCATGCCCAATGGGTTTATCCAGGGACATCCCTCCTTTTCAAGCACTGCTCCCCTTCTGACTGAGCTGGGATTGTGTCTTCTTTTCAAATTCCTTTTGT